TTTTGTTGTTGTTGTTTATCATTATTATTATTATTATTATTATTGGTTTAATGTGCGCGATGAACAATGCGTGTCGAACAATAAAATTGGGGAAAATTTTTTTTTTTAAAGTTCAAATGGAAGAAAAAGTTTAGGGAATTGTTTGCCAATCAGCCTACACATAAAATTTGTACAATTTTTTTTTTTTTGTTAATAAAATAAAAAATGGAGGTTAACCGAAGAAATTAAATGCGTTTACAATAGATTTCGATTCGGAAAATATTTTCAATAATAACTGAGTAAGTAGTAATTTTAAAAAAAGTGCGAAAATGTGTATATATTATTATTATTATTATTAATGAGGATCTCTGTAGAATTGTTTTTACTATAATTGTACCCTCGGTTTATCGAATGTGTCATGTGCTCATTTCTCATTCCTATCATTTTAGGTATAGTTATAATAACAATACCTCTAAATTAAAAGGTTCGTGGCTTTTGTGTTGATCCATCGCTTTCCGGATTTGGTGACAACCCATATCATTTCCTCATAGTCACGTCATTATCTAAAGGAAAAAAAGAAAAACGAAAAAACCTTGGATTATTTTATTTAAACAAGAATCTTGGTCAAATGAAAGTGATTGTCAATGAGGTTGTTAGTCACGATTGAACCTGACTAGTCCTTTACTCCTTATTTTTTTTTTGTTAATTTGATTTTGCACGATCTTATCGAGTTTCTTCTCACATTGCTTGTTAAGCAAAATTTTCAATTCTTTGTCGTTTCGATTCGAAATTTCATTATTATTATTATTATTATTAATGGTATTTAAATATGATTGCAAAATAGATCGCGTTTTGTGCCTGATCGTATTGTATTGTATTGTCTGTCATAGATTTGACGATTTTTGTTTGTTGTTGGCCTATTGGCATTGATTTTTCTAACAATTCCAAGCGTTTCAAGTCCATTGACATAAATGCCTAACACACAAAAGTAATTTGTGTTAAATAAAAAAAAAAAAAAAAAAAGGTTTATTAAAAAAAAGAGCGGGAAATTTAAACGATTAAACAAAACTAATTATTTATAAATTAAATTGTATTTAAAAAAATTAAAAATTTTCAAAACCTTCGGTGCATTTACCTCTTGTAACTTATTAAAAAAGTATGTGTGACTAAAATTTTAATGAAGTTTTTTTTTTATTTTAATAGGAATGTCAGTGGCCTTTTAATTTCATTTTATAAAATCATGCGCAAAATATATATTTATTTATTATTTTTTTTTAATATCGAAGGAAGAAAGAAACTAAAAAAAATTTTTTTCTTAAAGTTAAAAATAAATTTTTGAGTTAAGCTCTCTCACTTCATTTTTTTTATTTTTAATTTAAGCCTTAATTAGATCATGAAGTCGTCAGTACCCTCTTTAAACTAACTCCAGAAAAGAATAAATAAATAATTTTTTTTTTTTTTTAAGGTAAATAAAATAAAAAAATAATAAAATGGATGCCATCAAGAAGAAAATGCAAGCTATGAAGCTTGAAAAGGATAATGCCATGGATAGGGCACAAATGTGCGAACAACAAGCCAAAGATGCCAACTTGAGAGCCGAAAAGGTACTAATACAACGTTTTTTGAATAATAATAATAATAATTTTGTTTACTAAATTAGTCTAACGGAAAATTTTTTAAAAATGTTTACAGGCAGAAGAAGAAGCAAGATCACTTCAAAAGAAAATTCAAACGATTGAAAACGAATTGGATCAAACTCAAGAACAATTGATGCAAGTCAATGCTAAGCTCGAAGAAAAAGACAAAGCTTTGCAAAACGTGAGTAAAATTTTTTTTTTTTTAAAAAAATATTTTAAATAATTAAGACCTGGAATTTTATCGTCTGCTGGAGGAGTAACAAAAGAGGAAAATTTATAAATTTTTCTTTGGATAAAAATGACTTTTAATGAAAAACAAACAATGGTTAGCATTGGTTCGTTGGTTCGAATTTCATATATCGAATTTTGTTTAATTTTCATAACGTAAATCCCATAAAATAATTTTTTTTTTTTTTTTGTTTAAAACAACAAAATGAAAGAAAAATATTTTTTTCGAATGATCATCATCATCATCATTAAATAGTTTGAGATGTGGGGAAAAAAAAAGTCAGACTGTAAATTTTTGAAATTTGGCGAATGATCAAGGAATGAAACAAAATGGAGATTATTTTAGATTTGACCTTATTGAATTCTTTCAACGCAAACAGAATATTTTATAATGTTGGGAAAAAAAAACTGTTTTTCGTTCTGAATTTATAAACAAAAATTTAATTTTATTATTGAGGTTTTGCATTCACAATATCGTTTGTCGCCATTTTGTTTAGAATAAAAAAAAAAAATTTTTAAGGTTGGCCCCCCTTATGATTATTATTTTTACCAACTAATCGTTATGATATAAAACTGAGTGATTGTAGTAGAAAATTTGTTTTGATTAATTGATATCTTATTGTTAGATTTTTTTTGTATATCGAAGGTCTTTTCAAATCAATTTTCTTTTTTGTTTAATGGGAAAGTTTAAAAATTCTGTTGGAAAATAAGTTTAAAATGAAAATTTCACGCATTTCTGTCGATGGATTTTTTAAATTGAATTTAAATGGAATCGTTTCGGTTTAAATTTATTTTTATTATTATAGCTAAATGTTTAAATAATTTGATATTTTTAAAACGTTCCAAGGAATGATGTGTAATAAAAAAAAAAAAAAAAAACATTAAAAATTTTGCGGGAGTTTAAAAAAAAAATGGAAAGAAAAAAAAAATTTAAAAATAGAAATCCCCGCTTAAAATAAGTCGGGGGGCACGGTTTTTTTAATGTCGAGAGTTGCGCGTGAGTTTAAATTTTCGTGTATTTAATTCTCAACTCTTTAACCGACCAAATATGGTTTGCTTTAAGTTTTGTGGGAAAAAAAAAAAAATATTGTTTTTCAGTTTCAATTTTTTTAAAAATAGTTTAGTTTTTCAAAAAATTTTTTTTTTTTTTTTTTTTTTGATGTTGGTAGAAGGAATTTTTAAAAAAACATTTTTATTTTTATTATTATGTAATTTTATTTTAATTCGCGTTTAAAGTGCTACCGCTTTATTTTTTTTTTATTAGTGTGTTTGTTTGTTTGTTGTCGGTTGGTAGGTAGGATTTACGTAATCGATAAATATTTGATTTTATTTAACGGATATGATTTAAAGGTTAGGAACAAACCTAAAAAAATTTTTTTTTATTTATTTAGTGACAAATCCTTTTTTTTTTTTTAAAAACATCTGAAATGTTTTTACCGATGAGATCGGGGGTAATTTTAGTACCGTCAACTTATACCAGATGTCACTATCGCTGACGTTTAATGGCAGGCAACAAGTGGCCTAAGAATCACGTGTTCACTGCCTAATCAGATAAACAAAATGGCCGCTTTCATTCAATAACAAAACATTCTTTTTTTTTTTTTTCATTTTTTTTTTTTTTTTTTTTCAATTATTATTATCGTTAATTATTATTTTAATTTAATTTGGTTTTGTTATACGCGTAGTTCGTAGTTTGTTTTGTAAAAATTTTTTTTATTTTCGTTAAAATCGTTTTATTTCATGTTGATTTTCGTTATGAATGAAAAAAAAAAAAATTTTTTTTCTAAACCAAAGTCACAAATGGTTCGTCGTGATTCTCGTAACGTATTAAAAGATGTCAAAGGATTTGTCACTAATTATAACGAATGGGATTGTAGTGGTGAAAAATTAAAAGATGGGAAAAATATAGGGGATAAATTAAATAACGAATCATCTTATGTTAATTTGACTTCAGGTCAATGTAAATTTTCCGATGGTGCTAAATCCAGCTTTAATAGTGATACGAAAAATATTAGTAATAATCGAACGAACTGCGATCCGAATTCCGAATCTGTTAAAAGTAAAGAAGAAAAAAAAAATTTACCAAAGGAATCAATTAGCGAATTAGCGTCCTCATCTTCTGTGAATAGTTTAAAAAAATTAAGGCATCTACCATTCAAGACTGCTTTGATACAGGCGGGCGAAACGAATCCGTCAAAAATATTATTTAAAAGGGATTTAACGGAATCCGATGATGATTCAAACAATTCAATAGTTGTTAATAATAATAATAATTTAATGAGCATGACGTCTGAAAAAGTTTCCACAGGGTTAACAAAAAAAAAACCAAACCCTATAATATTACCAAGAGAACAATTTCAAGTTTTGCAAGAGAGAATAAAAACAGAAATAAATAATTTGAAATATTTAGAAAGTTCAGTGTCTTGTCAAGATGCTCACATGAATTTAAACGAAAATAAAGAAAGTCATAGGAAAATAAATGATGATGATGATGATGATGATATCGATGATATAGATTATGATGAATTGGGATCCGATATACAATTTTTACCAATTGAAAAAAGGGAAAAATTATTATTAAAATATAAAAAAAAAGAAACTGAAAATAAAAAAGATGAATCGAAATCATTGAAAACAAAAGTAAATACATTTCTATCATGTGACAATGAGAAAGGAGATGTTGGAATAATAAAAATTGATTTAACCAAAGACTCGACAGAAATGGATGCAACAGAAAAGACTGAGATAACAAGCGAAACTGATTATCCTAGTTTAGAATTGGATTATGGTGCTATTATCGATTGGGAAGATGGTAAATCAAAATCAAAAAATGTGAAACAATCCAATGCGACACACGAAAAACAAATAATCAATTTAGATATAGATGAATCAAAGTTAACTTTTGAAACGACCAAAAAAATTACAGATATTAAAAATAGACTTTCAAGAAGTTTATCAATAGGATTGTGTCACAAAGAACCGAATAATAGCGATAAAAAAAAAATATTAAATGATGATGAAAAAATCATTCCTGAGAGTAATGATAATGATGGTGATGATGATGATGTCGATGAATGTTCTGTAGAAGATGCAGAAGTTTTGGAATTGTCAAGGCTGAGATGTACAAGCGAAAGAACTGAAGTTATTGCTGACAGAGAGAGGCGGCATAAAAGAAGGTGTGCAGATTATCCTGGTTTAGCATTTGGATTTTCAATATTTAGCTCTGATACGATGATGAAATTTAGCGTTATTAGGAACGAACTCCACAATATAATGAACACTCAATTAAAACGGGTTTGTACTGATTTAATTACTTTTTTTTTTGGTATATTTCTTTTCGGTGTGTAAGCATTTGACTACGCGTACACGTATCATATGTTCGTTCGTATTTTAAATTTAAAACCGAAAAAAAAAAAAAATAATCAATATAACAAAAGATAACGTTTTAGAAATTAAGTGGAACGGCAAACGGAAAAAAAAAAAGTTGTTAAAAAGTAAAAATAATCATATTTAGTAGATGAATCAGTAATACAATGATAGAATGTCTAAAAATAAAATTTACGAAAAAAAAAAAAAAAACAATTTCGATTCGAATCGTTTAAATAAAATTCTATGGGTTTTAACTGGAAATAAAAACAGGTTTCCATTTTTTTTTTTTTTTTTTAGGTAAATTTGCATATTTTTATTTGTTCGGTTTTTACGGTCGTTTTTAAAAAATTAATTTTTCGTTTTTTTTTTTTTTTGTTAAAAATAAGAAATTTTCGTGATGGCGGTCGCCATTTTACTCTTTTTTTGGCGTTTATTTAAATACGAGCGAACAAAATGGATGACAAAAAAAAAAAAAAAAAAAAATTATTCTTATGAACTTTTTTTTTTTTTTTTTTTTTATAATTTCGTCATATGGTCGTGACTGGTTTTTTTTTTTTTGTTAAAATGTTATTATTATTAGCATCATCAAATATGGCTAGACGTAAACAAAAGATTATTTTTTGGGTGAAAAAAAAAAAAAAAAAAAATGAAAAGGAAGGTTGTTTTGCCAAAATTGGGGTTATTCGTAATTGGTTTTTATTATTATTATTATTTTTTAAACATTTTCATTTACCCGTTGGGGGAAAATGATAATGCATTATTATTATTATTATTATTATTATTATTATTATTATTATTATTATTTCCATTTTTGGTTAATCGAATTTTAGTAGGTGAAAAAGCTTGAATCGTGGACGTAAAGTGAGTGAGAGAGAGAGAGAGAGAGAGAGAGAGAGATGCACACACAGGCGAACCTTTTGTTTTTTAATTTTGTAAGTTTTCGTTAAAAATAGTATAAAAAAATTTTTTTTTTTAGAACGTTCTAGAATTTATTTTTCAAACTTGGTAAAACAATTAAAACGATACAAGTAGTTGTGGTTAGATAGATAGATTTTTAAAAGAGAAAAATAGTTTTTCGATTTTTAGTTGACCTCAATTATTTTAAATATAATAGAGTTCACGGAGTGTGTGATAAGGGTCATACTTGTAATAACAGGGCCGCCACCACCACCACCACCACGTTTTCGAGCCGCCTTTGGCGTATTTTAAATGCGGACGACAAGCTGGCTTTATATATTCGAACCAATATTCTCGATAGTTCGATCGATCGATCGATCGAAAAAATTCTTTTCACAATATTATCGATCGTGTTTGTTCGTGTGCTAGATTTCTTAGACAAAAAAAAAAAAAAAAAAAAAACTGTTACAGTATCGTGCCCCTTTGATTCGCCATAGGAAATCTCCCATAATTTTTTTTTTTTTTTTTTTTTTTTTATGGACTTAAGTCGTGCTTTTTACTTTTCAAATTTTTGTTTTACGCGCGCTTTTTTCCCCAGCTTTATTGAGGTCATTTATGTAGTTGGGTACGTTGAAGTTATATACCGACGTGTCTTTAGTTACACGGTAAAAACAAAACAAAAAGGAAATGTTGCGTTCGAAAATTAATTTTTAGGTTGGCACCAATGATAGTTTTTCTCTCGTCGATTGTGTCGCATCGCTTTGTCATTGTCGTGATTGTATGTTCTTTTTTTTTTTTTTTTCTCAAAATACTTTTTGCGGTTGGGTTAACGTTTTTTTTATCCTTGCACGAAATTCACAGGGAAAAACTTTAGGTCTTGTCGTCTTTGTCATTTCAATACATCGATGACACTGAAAGCAGAAAAAAGAAAAGAAAGTTATGACGCCTCAAGTTAAAATAAAATAATTAACGAACACACGCGCACACACACACACACACACACACCACGAGTTAATTAAAACTTGTCAGTTAATAACAATTTTTATAATTTCGGACGAATATAACATAACGCATTGACGTCCATTTTGTTTTGTTACTCGGATGGAGGAGAAAGAGAGAGAGAGAGAGAGAGAGGGGGGGGCATCTTTTCAAAAATTTATATTGTTTCACACATGTTGTAAACCATCTCTTAATTGTCTGACTCGTTAAAAATAATAATAATAATAATAATAATTGCGCGTAATTAAAATTTATATTATTTATAATAATAATGATGATGATGATGATGTTGAATAAAAAAAAAAAGTTTGATGAGTTTCCAGTTTTTTTTTTTTTTTTTTTTTTTTTTTTTTTTTTCTGTAAAGAAAAAGTCGTACGGGGCGGGGCGGGGGGGGGGTGGAATAGAAAGGTTTGTTCTTTTTTTTGATATTTTCCACAGAAACTTTAAACGTACCTGAATGTGATGAGTGACCTGAATGAAGAATTTTAGGCGTGGGTCGTCATCAATTTTTTTTTTGCAAAGGAGTTTGTTTTCCTTTTGTTTTTGTTTTTTTCTCCATCACCTTCGAATTTAAATTTGACTGGAGACGATCAAATGGGGCGAAATTATTCGAATATCGAATGGTAGAGAAAGATGATGATGATGATGATGATGATGATGTGCAAAAAAGTGAGAGACAGACGTCTTTTGTTTTATATATATTTTGTAGATTTTTTTTTTATAACAGGAAATCATATTGGGTTGGAATTTAACATTTGAATTAGAATGTTTAGTCTTCCCCTTCCCTCCCCTCCCCCCACTTTTTTTTTCATACCGAATAGACTTTAAAAACAACAACACCCACGACAGGAAAGGCAAAAAAAAAAAAAATAAATAAATAAATAAAAAAACATTAAACAGAAGTAGAATAAAAGGCTTTTATTTTATACATATTTGTATTAATTATTCTTTTTTGATTGGTTGTTGTTTATAACAAATAATGTGGGAGTGAGTGAAATGAAATCAATTTTTTTATTTATTTATTTATCTTTACCCTTTTGATTATTATTATTATTTTATATTTACCGGAAATAAGCTTGAATGATGTTTCCTCCGTTTTGTGTTGTAGTAAAAATTTTTTTTTTTTTTTTTTTTGGCGCAGGATTTTCGAATTTAATCTGCGTAAAGGTTTGGTTTTATGAATGAATGTTTTTATAGGTTTTTTGAATGTTATGAAAAGTCCTCCATCTCTCTCTCTCTCTCTCTCTCTCTCTCTCTCTCTCTCTCTCTTTCTAATTGATTACCTGCGAGTTATTTAATTTATTAATTGGGACAAACATTCGCGAGTGACATTTTTAGTAATTAAAATATTTTAGTCGTTATTATTATTATTATTATTATTAATACCATTCGAAAAAAATTTTTTTTTTCGGTATTTATATCCGGAAATATTCATTTATTTCCCGGTTTTATTATTTTTTTTTTTTTTAAGAAAAATTTTTTATTGTGTCGTCGCGGTAGATTAGCAGAAGAAATCTTATCATAATTAAATTATCGATAGGTTTTCGTGTGTGTATGTGTGTGCGTGTGTGCGTGTGCGATTACAGTTTGATTAAATTAATGTTGAAATAAAAAAGGATTTTACTTATTACATTAGATTTTTTATATGCAAGGTTAACTGTTTTAATACACGTTTGAAATTTTTTTTTTTGCTGGTGCCACTTTTTTTTTTTTTTTTAGGAAAAAATGGTTTGCTACCTGGTATTTTTTTTTTTAAATAATTAATTTAATCAAACTGATAATTTGTTTAAAAAAAAAAAAAATTTGCATTGAAGTAAATAATAATAATAAGGGAAATTCACGTTAAAAAAGGCCTTAATTAAATTTCATTTATCGCGCATGCGTATGACTCATTTTAAGGAATGTACCAAAAGTGTGTGCGCTAGTATCGAATTTGCCGGCCATTTTGGGTGCAAACTTCGATCGTGTCATTGTAATAAAATAGCGTGTGGGGTTGTTAAATATTTGTTTCATTTAGGTATTTTTTTTTTTTACTACTACTACTACTACTACTAGTAGTTGTTAACGCGTATATATATATATAAAAAAAAGAAAGAAAAGATGGCGAGCGTGTTACCGCAAGGTGCTATACTAGACGTATTAAAGAAAAAAATGAGACAAACGAAAGAAGAAATGGAAAAATACAAAGAGGAGTGCGAGGAATACCATAAACGATTGCAAGTTGAAATTAATCGCAGGGAAGAAGTACGTGTATATATATTATATTATGTATTTATGTATATAGTAGTGCGTGCGTGTGCGTGTGCGTGTGTAAATGCGTGTCAATATGAGTATTTGACATGTGTGTAAAGGGGGAAAAAAAAAAAAAAATCTCATTTTCTATTTGTATAAATTTCCTCCCTCCCCCCCTCCTCTTCCCTCGAGTGAGTTTAATTGTGGGTAATATTATCGGGTTATTTTAATTGTTTTTGATGTAACCCGATGTGTTGTGACGAAAAGGAAAAACCCTGATGATGAGGATTAATCGTGTGAGATGTAAAATCTGAGTTTGATGACCACTTGTTGTTGGGTTTTGGACGCCTGTAGGCTAAATTTAAAAAAAAAAATTAATTTTTAACCCCGTCACGACTTGTGTCATTGTCACCGTTTTAACATGGTTTGAGAGTTTTTTTTTTTCATTTCGAACAATCTAGAATCTATATATATTTATTGATGATTTCTCATCGTTCATTATTACCACCACCACCACCACGCCCAACCGTTTCAAACTCTTGTTTGTCTAATACAAATCCACTATTGTCGCCACTTTATTAAAATATTATGATTTGAATGCAAAACACTTTTTTTTTTTTTTTTTTTTATGTTTTAATTATTATTGAAAATAATCTATTAAAAGACTGTTGTTGTGAAATTAAAAAAAAAAAAAAAACCCCGTATGTTTTAACATTATGCAATCTTTATATATTGCACTCGATGATGATGATGATGATGATGATGAGACAATAATAACATTTCCCCTCCCCCCCGCTAAAGGTATTTTAATTTTGAAAAGGATATTTTATTCCATGAGTTATACCCCCCATTGTAATGGAAAAGTACGAATGTAAATAAATAAATTACAAATGGTTGTGTGTGTTGTTGTTGTTGTTGTTGTTGTCGGTTTAATAATGATTAAAAATTGAAAACATTCGAATGTGTGTTCACTCGATTTGTTTTTTTTTTTTTTTTGGCCATGTTTAATTGTTAAATATTTTTTTTAAGTTAAGATTACCAACAATTGAAAAAAAAAAATTAATTAATTTTGTCGATGTGTGAAATGTTATGCTGGAACAATTTTTAAAAAATGAACATTATCAATTTATTAATCATCATCATCATCATCAATTGTGTGTATGTGTGTGTGTGTGTGTGTGAAACATCGAAGGTGTGTCAGGTGTTTTATTTTTGCTTTTTTTTTTTTTTTTTTGTTATGATGACAAGTATTTATATAGAAATATATTTTTTAGGTCAGCCATGCATGAGAGTAGTGATTTTTCTGGAATTGTTATTGTCGATGAACCGAATAATGAAAAAGAAAGAAAAAAAAATGGGCTAGGCAGTTTTGTCATTTACCGTTATGTATAACAAACAAACAAAAAAAAAAAAAATTTTTTTTTGGACGGTAGTAGTGTAATTGAATGTAATAATAATAATAATAATAACAGTAATCACCATTGGTGGTTTTGTGTTTGTCGGTTTCATTACAGTTGACAGTTTGATTTTTCTTTCCTCTTCATTATTATTATTATTATTATTATCGGTTTGTTGTGGTGTTTTGATTCAAAGCATTCATTTTTGTTTATCATAAAACAACATAATTAATATTTTAATTCGAAACAAAATGGAGTCTTACTTACAGGTGTTTAATTAATTGGGAAAACAAATGAAGACGGGGTTGTTTTCTTTTGTTTTATTTTCACCTTCTTCTGTTTATATATTAACGTTTGTCATCCATTTTTGCATTTTAGGCTGAGAGTGAAGTTGCCGCCCTCAATCGTCGTATTCAATTGTTGGAAGAAGATCTTGAAAGATCCGAAGAACGTCTTGCAACGGCCACTGCTAAGCTCGCTGAAGCTTCCCAGGCTGCCGATGAATCTGAAAGGTATATTATATGCGTTGTTTATTATTTACATTATGATTATTATTGTGATTTTTTACACGACGTGTCACGAGAACGAAGAATCATCGTTTTCTAAAGTAAAAAAATTATTGCGAAAACGAATACGCGAGTTTTTTTTTTGCTAAATAAAATTATTTTCGTAAGAAATAATAATAATTCGAGTCGCAATCGAAGATAACATTATCACGTTACGATAAAAAAAAAAAAAAAAAAAAAAAAAGAGGGTTTTGACGTGTAACTAGAATAATAATTTTTTTACTTTATAAAAGAAAAATTTTTTGTTTTTAAAATGACTGTCTCGCAAGTTAACTGTCCCACACAATGGGGGGAGGGGGAGGGGAAATTAATAATAAAAACAAATCGGGGGGGGGAACAGTTAACTTGTTGTTGATTTTAAAAAAAAAAAAGTTTGCATTTTTGGTTTGTTTTCTCTGTGTTTTTGGTTGTTTTTAAAAAGAAAATACTACGTAAATGAGAATGAAAATTATCGAGTTACAAAGACAAACACCGGAAGTCAATGATGATAACGGCGTTAAAAAAAAAAAAAAAAAAAAATGGCAAAATTTCAATGAAAGCCATAAATGGCCAAAAATAAAGTTTTTTTTTTTTTACAAGCTTATTTAGTCATTGAACGTCATTTTCAAACGATTGAACAATGACGCAGAAAAATAATTTTAATTCAAAGTAGGTGGGTAGGAGGGGGGTGGAGGAAAATGGAGTTTTAAGGGTTTTCCCCCTTTCTTTTACGATTGAAAAAAAAAAAATAAGAGAATAATTTTCGATTACTTTTACTATTTATTATTGTTACGCACATGATCTACGTATCCATATTTCGGTCATATCGTATTATTAAATGAACTTTTACAAAATACTACCTGACCTTGGGTTCTGTAAACGCAAAAGGTCAACCGCGTAGATTTTTTTTTTTACTTTGCACACAGACGCACACACGCCGTTATTTAAAAAAAATTACGAAATGAAAATTTTCGAATTCTATTTTTTATTTTTTTGGCGGGAAAATGTTCGAATTCAAAACAGCAACGAAAAAATTTTTATTCTCATTTACCCCCCCCCCCCAAAAAAAAAAAAATAGGAAATAATTATTTTTAACATATTAATTTTTTTTTACTTAATATCGTTTTTTGTTTTGTTTTGTTTTGTTTGAATGAACTAAAAAAGTTGTTGTTTTTTTTTTTTTTTTTTTAATTAACATTTTACTAACCCTTGTATTTCTGCAGAATAAGAAAAGCACTCGAAAACAAAACAAACATGGAGGATGACAGGGTTGCCATATTGGAAACGCAATTGGCTCAGGCTAAGTTAATTGCCGAAGAGGCAGATAAAAAATACGAAGAGGTGAGATTTGATTTAAATTTTTTTTTCTTAATTATTAATGTATTTTACAGTTTCAGGTACTGGAAAATGAAATTCACCCGGCTATAAAATTTTTAAAAAATTATTTGTTTTTGGATGTGGTTTTCTTTATTATTATTATTATTATTATTTGAGAAAAATGGCGACGACGCGACAACCGTTTCGCGTTTACTTTTATCTCGTTATTATTTTATTTTCTTATCGGGATATATATATTTGAGAATTCTTAAAAAGTGAAAAAATTCGATTTATTATATCCAAAAACAAATAATTATTTAGCCGGGGAGAAAGAGTGTGGAAGACATCGCACGTGCACGCACGTGCGTTCACGTAAACGCGATGATAACGTAAATTTTTAAACTTTTTTTTTTTTATTTTGTAATTCAGGCAAAGGAAAATATTGGAAAATAGGAGTTTGCAAGATGAAGAGCGAATGGACGCATTGGAAAATCAATTAAAAGAAGCCAGGTTTTTGGCCGAAGATTCGGACAAAAAATACGATGAGGTGCGGAAAGCTTATGGGTTGTTGACTTGAAATTAATCCATAAATTAATTAAACCGCCCGAAACAAAAAAAAAAAAAAAAAAAAGAATCGATTTTTAAAAGTTTAGTTTATTTAAACAAAACAAAACGAACTGCTTAACAAAAGAAACGTTTATCTATATTTAAACATGTATATATATATACATATATATATACATTCAAATCTATTTATTAAAAGCGTTGGAAGAATAACTCACCATACACACACGCATATATATATATATTAATTATTGTTTTGAAAGCACGTATACATATATATATATAATCATCAATTGCGGCCATGGACCAGAAAATTATTATATTTAGTATTATTATTATTATTATTATTATTATTTTCATTTTTATTAATTATATTATTATTACATGCGGAAGTTATTTTATAAAAAAAATATATATATATATAATAATATTACTTTCGTACATATATAAATATATATAAAAGTATTTAAATATGCCGTGGAATGTAATGAATGTCGAGGAGAGAGAGAGAGAGAGGAGTTTTTTCTTTTTTAATGTCGAAAACGTACGTAAGAAAAAAAAAACAATTATTATTATTATTATTATTATTATTATTATTATTATATATATTTAATTTATTAAATGTAACACGATGATGTTGGTGACATTTTTCTGATCCATGGTCTATAATCGCATGGTTTTATTACTTTTATTTATTTATTTATTTATTTTATTTATTTAATTAATTAATAAATTAATTTAATTTTTTTTTGCAGGCATGAGTTTTTTGTTTTGTTTTGTTTTTGTTTTTGTTTACTCTACTAAATATTAATTAATAACGTTATTAATTTTCGTTTAGGATTTTTTAATATACATAAATACATAATCAGACGTATTCGTCGAGGATAAAAAACCAAAATAATAATAATAATAATAATAATACTGTTTTTTTTGTGTGTGTGTGTGTGCGTGTGCGTTTTTTGATTTAAAACGAACGACTAATATATTTTGAGTGATAATAATAATAATAATTAATTAATTAACTTTTTTTTTGATTGACGTTTTTGTTTGCTTGCAAAGTTTTATTATTATTATTATTATTATTTTATTTATATTTTTTATTTGAGAGAATTATAGGTTTTTCCCCCCAAAGACGATGGATGATGGATGATAAGTCGGTCTTATCACCTGCCTGCAGCAAGACATGGAACGTTTGTTTGTTTGTTTGTTTCGTATTAAGGCACATTCGTAGGATTTCTAATTTTTCCGTCCTGGAGAATAATTTTTGGAATTTTTTTAAAAAATTTTTTTTCGAATTATTAAATGTTTTACCCTTTGTTAGGTGGCTCGTAAATTAGCCATGGTCGAAGCAGATTTGGAAAGAGCCATGGAAAGAGCAGATGCCGGTGAAACGTAAGACGTTTTTTTCTTTTCATTTTCATTTACTTATTTTTTGTGCCTTTTTTTTTCTCCCTCCCTCCCCTCCCCTCCCCTCCCCTCACAAGAATTCGTTTTTCCCTCCCTCCCTCCCCCCCTCGATTTTGTATTTTTGTCTTACTAGTAGGTTTTTTCTGCTCTGCTTTTCGAGACAAGCGGAAAATGTTGTGCCGTTTTATGAAAATGACTCTTTCGAGACCGAGTAAAAAATGTTATTTTCTCATTAATACGCATTTGTAGAGATTGAATGAATTATTTACGAAAAAAAATATACGAAAGTTTTGTCTTCCACCTTTTTTTTTAATTACACACACACACACGGAAAAAAAAAAAAAAATGGTGGAATGTTTGCGAGTGCGTGCGTGTACGTCGTATTCGTTTTATTAATTATTTTGTTTTTTAGGGTTTTGTGGAAAATTGATGGGAGCAAAAAATTGAAAACGAGACTTCAATTTATACATAAAAAATTTTTTTTTTTTTTTTTTTTTTTTTTTTGTTTCTTTCGAGTTTGCGAATTGTTTTTTTTATAGTGGTGAGATTTTTTTGTTTTTATTAGGTCGCTCGTAAATTAGCCATGGTCGAAGCAGATTTGGAAAGAGCCGAAGAAAGAGCCGAAAGTGGCGAATCGTAAGAAAATTTTTTTTTCTTTTTTCTTTAATACGATAGCTTGCACACTAAAAAAGAAAGAAAGAAAAAGAAAAGAAAAAAAAAGGAAAAGAAAAATTAATAATTAATCCTTGTTTATGTTCGGTGTATCGTTTTAAAAGCATTTCACTTAGCATTATTATTATTCAGCAGCAGCAGCAATAATAATAATAATATTTGGATTGAAAATGAGTGTAGTGCTTTAAAAAACGATGCCTGAATTTTCCGTTGCTTGCTTTTTTTTATTCCGTTTCCCCCCCTTCTTTTTTTAACATGCTTGCCATTGTATTTACAGATGATTTATAGATTTGGCTACTACACTTGCGTTTGATAATCATTATTATTTCATTTTTATTTTTATTTTATTTTATTATTGTTTGTGTGATTTTGCATTTTTATTTTGGTTATTGTTGTTGTTGTTTTGTTTTTGTCGAAGTCGCTGAAAGTAATTGTAGAGAAAATTGATTTTATTTATTTATTTATTAATTTTTATTTAATTAATTAATTATTACTTTCGGTTGCTTTCGATATTATGTACATAAATCATAATCACTTGATACACTTGATTGGTTTGGTTTTGTAGCTTGAAAACTATAAAAAAAAAATTTTTTTTTTTTTTTTTTTTAAAGTCGAAAATTTAAAAAAAAAAAAAAAACTTGATACAAAGCTTTACCTGCAAAATTATTATTTGTTTACATCCACGCAAAAAAAAAAAAAAAAAAAAACAATAAAACTAACTCGCATGGTTTTGTGGTAACTTGTTATCTCACAGGTAGCACGAAAGCTCGTTATCATGGAACAAGATTTAGAAAAATCAGAAGAGCAAACTAACATTTCGAATAAGTAAGTAAAAACGATATGATGTATTCAATCTCGAGTTGGAACGAGGACGTTAGGTTTCCCGGGGGGTGGGAGGGGAGGGGAGGGCGTGGAAGAGAGAGAGAGAGAGGCGGGGAGGGTGGAAAGGGAAAGGGAAAGAAAGGTTTTTTTCGTAAGGGGAAGCGAAAGGGATGAATACGAAAAGATTTAAGGTTCTTTTATATCCATTTATACAGATGAAGAGAATGGGGGGGTGAATATAATAATATTCGAATCTTGCTAGAGGGAGGAGTAAGGGGAGGGGTAAATTTAATTATAAAGCGGGGAAAATAGAAATTTTGAATAAGAGACGTCCGTATCAGGCTCGCATGCACGTTTCAATTTGCTTTCGCTCGCATAAGTTTTTATATATTTATATATATATATATATATTGATAATAAAAGGTGCAGGTGGTATTGAATTCTTGTTTACTCACTAGCGTGCTCCTTGTCAGCCTTACAAAATACCTTTTTTCCATTCATTTTTCCCTCCCCCCGCCCCTCCTTCGATGATGAAGAAAACACGATAAAGTTCTTTTTTGCTGCAGTGAAATGAAAAATGCAAAATTGAAGTAATTTGTGCGTGCAATGGAATGGATTTTATCGCGTTTTCTGTTTTTCCTTCCCCCCCACCCTTTAAAAAAGAAAAAAAATGACACGATTAATTTTTATTTTTTTCTCGTTAGGAAAATCGTCGAACTTGAAGAAGAACTTCGCGTTGTCGGCAACAATTTGAAATCTCTCGAAGTGTCTGAAGAAAAGGTGAGTGTGTGAAAGAGAATTCATTTAATATTTAAAGAATTACATTTTTCCCCCTCCTCTTTCCCTCCCCTACCCCAATCAATGATTGATTTAAAAAATGAAAATCGTTTATACAATTAATTTACAAATGATAAAATTATTATTATTATTATTACCTGGCAGGCCAATCAACGTGAAGAAGAATACAAGCAACAAATCAAGACCTTAACAACTCGTTTGAAGGAGGTAAAAAAAAAAAAAAAAAAGAGAGAGAGAGTAGAAAACCTCCTAGAAAATTGTTTTGATTTTGATTTTGATTTTGCTTGTTGTTTCTGTGTCTGTTTTTTTTTTTTTTTTTTTTTTTTTTGCCCCGTTAATGAATAGTTTGAAAAATTTCCCGCCCTCCTCCATTTTGTTTCTGATTTGGGAAATTTCCTAAAACAGATGCATGATGAATAATCCGAGAAAAGATTATTATTAACACCCTAACTTTTATTATTATTATTATTTTTTTTATTTTTTTTATTTTGCACATTAACCTAAATGTTTGCTCGTTTGTTTTTTTTTTTTTCTTTTTATTATCATTATTATTATTAACTCGGATGACGTGGATTCGACGCTGCTCGTTCTCGGATGATCCGTTCACAGGCGACACAAAGAGAAGGAACGTTTGTCGAACAAGTTAAAGTTCTCGCCGGATCTTTGAAAGAGGTGAGTGGGGGAAAAAAAAAATAAAAAAATTCTTAGGGGTTGGGGGGCTAATAAGAGAGGAAAATCTTGACGAAACGGTGATGATGATGATGGAAAACCCGAGGAGAGGAGGATACGTGAAAAGGATTCGCGAAACCGTAAGTACACGTCATGGCGATGACGTGTCACCCCATTTCGAAAATTTTCGATATTACTTTTATTAATATTAGTATCATTATTATTATTACGTTTGTTTTGTTTTGTTTTTTTTTTTTCCTCCATTAATTGCACGCGTGCTCTTTTGTTTTGAATTACGTCACGTGTACGACTGACGTCATTTTAATTCGAACGTTTTCTTTCTTTCTTTCAGGCTGAAGCGAGAGCCGAATTCGCTGAAAGATCGGTACAGAAATTACAGAAGGAAGTCGATAGGCTGGAAGGTAAGGGATTATTCATACTCGCCACGGCGATTATTAAAATAATTATAAAATGATTAAAAATTTGGAAGGTGGGAAAAATTTTTTTGTCATATTAGAATGCGAGTTAGGTAGATAGGAGAACCGAAAAGAAAAATGTTTTTGTTGTTGTTGTTAGAGTTGGAGTTATTTCCGTTTCCGGTTGCCGAAAGTCAGTCAACATTCGACACCGCGTGTGTGCGATTGTTGCCGGCACGGAAAAGTTTTCTTTTATGATTTTTATTTTTTATTTTTATTTTTATTTTTTTTTTATTTTAATTTTTTATTTTATTTTATTTTATTTTAATTTTTAATGTTTTGTTTTGTTTTGTTTTTTTTGAGTGTAATAACTAAAACAGTGTGATGAAAATTAATAATTCGCAGATGATCTTGTTCAAGAGAAAGAGAGAAACAAACTTCTCCAGGAGGAAATGGAAGCCACACTCCACGACATTCAAAATATGTAGGAAATAAATTTTCACTTTTTTTTTTTTTTTTTTTTTTTAAAAAAAAAGTACACATTATCATTCGATTGCAAGGAGTTTAAAAAAAAAAAAAAGAAAAAAAAGAAAATTTGAAAAAGAAAGTAACATAAAAAATAAGAGGAAATGCGTGTTTTTTTTTTTTTTTTTTGGTATACGTTTTCACGACGCGTCGTTTATATACACATACAAACACAAACAAATAAAATAAAATATTTTAGGGAAGGAGGGATAGTGGGAGGGTGGGAGGGAGGGGCGGTGGAACTGGAAAGAAAACGGAAAAAAAAAAGTTTTGAAACTTTTGTTTCAAAACTTTTTTTTTTTTACGCGCTAAAAGGGTTTTTTCCGTCCGCATTTGCGGGCCGCCGGAACTTACTCCCGATCGGAGTTTTCGGTGCCGAATAATAATAAATTGTATGCCGGACGGAATCCTTTTACGTTATTTAAAATATTTATAAAAAAAAAAAAAAAAGAGACAATCAGGGCCGTAACCGGGTTAAATATATTTATATATATATATGTTTGCTATGCATAATGAAAGTAGTAGTGATAATTAATTATCCGGGGAAAACAGATTTCGGTTAGCATTTAGGGAAAACAGCATTTAGTACTTAATTATTATTATTATTGTTATTGTTATCGTCGCCATATTGTCAAATTGTAACTTTTTTTTCTTTTTTTTTCTATTTTGTTATTATTATTATTATTATTATTATTATTATTATTATTATTATTATTATTATTATTATTATTATTATTATTATTATTATTATTTTATAGTTTGTTGATATTTAAATTTAAAAAAAATTTGGCGCGAACGATTCCTGACGGTGATGACAAAAAATGTCAGGTTTCGAAGAAAGAGTGGGGGGGAAGGCTTCATTCCAGTTGTCTTATTGAAAAAAAGGGGAGGGAGGGAAAGGGGGAAGGGGGAGTGAAGGTGGGCGGGAAAGAAAAGACATTTTAAATTTTTATGAATGAATTTTTTTTTTTTTTTTTTTTATTAGAATGCACGAATGCGAAAGCAAAAAAAAAAAAATATATATATATATTTTATCATTTGAACAAATCGATACATTAACATTAGAGAGAAAAATGAAAAAAAACTAATAATAATAATAATAATAATAATAATAATAATGATAATAATAATAATGATGATGATGATGATGATTAAACAAACGAATGAACTTTTCTTTTTTTTTTTTTTTTTTGTGTGATGACGTTGTTATTGTTTTTGTTGTCGTTATAAATTGTAACGTTTCGACGGCCATTTTTTTTTTAAATTTTTTAAAAAAATGGGGGTCTTTTGGACCCCCCTCCCCACGAATCGTCGTATCTATCATAGGCCCCCGTGGAAAAGGAGAGTAGTTAATAGTCGTAGTAAATAGCAATAGTAGTATTATCATCATCGTGAGTTGCCAATTCCTTAGTGATAACAAGAAATTATAATTTTCCGTTAAGCTCATTACAAAATAATAATAATTATTATTATAATTATTTAAATTCGTCTCGCTTTGTTTCTATCTCTCTCACTCTCACTCTCTCTCTCTCTCTCTCTCTCTCTCTCTCTCTCTCTGTCAGTCGTCATTAACAACGTCATCCGTTACTTTTTCAATCATAATAATAATAATAATAATAATAATTATTTGTTTGTAGTGCTAGTCTCACTTTTTTTTTTTTTTTTTTTTGTTTTTTACTCTGTAGAATTAGACGCGTAAAAAAAAAAAAAAACACCGAAAATTTATTATTATTATTATTATTATTATTATTATTATTACTATCATTATTATTATTATAAAATGTATATGATAACCGCGTTCGCGGAGGAATAAAAAGGTTTAATAAAAGGTTTTGTTAAAGAAAGAATGACGAAAAAGAAAATTGTAATAATTAAAAGACATAACAAAAAAAAAAAAAAAGGTGCTGAAAGGAATAATTTATGATAATTATGTTCGGTCTTTTCATATTATATATATATTTATATAAATAAATAAATAAATAAAATATATATATATATATTAATAAATAAATTAATGCGAGATGAAATTGCGTGAGTGCGTGCGAGAGTGCGTGCGAGAGTGAGAGCGAATCTCTCGGATCAAGATCATTAGAAAAAAGGTAAAAATGATAATTGTAACATGTAAACGTGTACGCACACACACTTGGGGTTTAGTCCCACGTGTCCGTGCGTGTGCGTGTCACGATTAAAAAGTCTGGAAAAGTCAACGAAAAAATCAATGATGAAATAACAAATAAAGAGTTGTTATGATAACATATATGTATAAGTTTATTATTATTATTGTTGTTGTAAGCAGAAGAAAAAGAAAAGAAATTTTTTCTAGAACTTTCTAGACTTTTTAATTGTTAATTGCACGGATTTTCTGAACGAGTTTTGTTTTGTTTTAATTTTTAATTTTTTTTTTTTAATTTTAAGTGAACGTGTTGTTTGATAATTAAATAACAAATTTTTTCTTTCGGTTCAAAAAAAAAAAAAAATAAAGATGTAATTTAATTAATAATAATGATGATGATGATGATGATGATGATGATGATGATGATGGGGATAATAATAATAAGAAGAATGGTAAAGGAAGAGAAAACGGTTGTAGATGTGTTGAATGTAATTATCTGATCGTCAATTTCAATAGGTGATAATAATTGTTGGGGGTAGTGGTAGTGGCAGTGGCAGGAGTGGAAGTAGGATGACGGTTACATTCGTGGTACAAGTACGTGGAATTAGATTGTGGGTGGGCTCCAGCGAAATGACTTTTTTTTTCCTTTTCTCCAGCGTTTAGGATACCGGAAAGGGGGCATAAAAGAAGAATTCGAATCGATTTATTTATTTATTACCATCCGTTATTATTATTATTATTATTATCATCATCATCATCATCATCATCGTTAATGATGTCAGGATTGTGTTAAAACGTGTGTTATTACGTACAACGCGAAGTAATTTTTTTTTTTTTTTTTTTTAAATACAAAAAAAAGTGAAATAGTAAGTAAAATTTAATTAAACGAGGTTTAAGGTGCATTTTATTATTATTATTATTATTATGAGTATTATTGTTCTTCTTCTATGTTTAGCTTATTACCTAATATGATTATTATTACGTTTGGTTTTGGTTTTTTTTTTTTTTATTGTTGTACTACCAAACGGAAAATAATTCGTGTACCTTCTTTTCTGTACCTAAGTTTAGGTACTGTTATTAATATTAATAATAATAATTGGATTGTTGGTGTATTTGTTAGGTTAAGGTTATGGCATATTTCGTTGTTGTTATCATTATTATTTTTCCAGTCCAGTACATCCCCAAGTCCCCCCCATTACTTTTCTATGCAATCATTATCATTATTATCTTAATTTGCTTTATCATTGTTTGTTTGTTTTTTTCTTTATCTCGGTGACGGTTTGTTAAAAAAAAAAAAAGTAAGTCGTGGAGAGGAAAAGGGTACCGGCGGGAGTTGGGGTGTATCCCTGAAGGCTGTGGGGGGAAGAGGGAGTGGATTATTGGATCGGTTGTGGGATTTCTCAAGTTAATCTTCAACAGGGATGCTTTTGGGTATCCCAAAAAAGTTTCCGTGCTGATGATTTAAATCCTGAAATAGCGACAGGCCTTTTAATGGGGGGGGGGGGGAAAGAGGATCACGTATCCTTTCTACGAATCGGGGAAAGCTATTAGGTCAGGGGTCAAAGTTGAAACGTATTTTTTTTTTTTTTTGGATATGAAATAGACTAAAAATAGGTCGTTTCGGGATTAAAGGTAAAATGAAAATACGCATTATTATTATTTTTTTTTTTTTTTTAAACCATTAATATTATCATTATTATTATTTAATTTTAATTTAATTTAATCGATAAGAGACGTAAATAATAATTCAAGGTCACTCACCCCTCCCGATTGATTATTTACAGATGAACTTGTACACGAGAAGGAGAAATACAAGTATATTTGCGACGATTTGGACCAAACATTCTCCGAATTGGTTGGTTAAATTTAATCTTTTTTCGTTTTAATTGGATGTATACTATACATAAATATTTATTTATATATATACTCGTAATAAATTGTAATTTTATGTTAAATGGAAACAAACAAACAACCAACCGAAACAAACAAAACAAACGCAGTAAACTTGAAAAAAAATTTTTGTTTAAAATTAATTAACGTTAATAAGTAAAAAAAAAATCATTATTATTATTTTTATTTTTATTGATATATAATAACACGACAGTTTTTTTTTTTTTATATAGAAAAAATTTTATTTATGAATCACGTTGTTTTTAATAATAATAATTATTATTGATTGATTAATTTATATATGAAATTTTTGGTATGATAATCAATATACGGTATATACGTATTTAATTTACGCATAATGTTTTTATTTATTTTATTTTTATTATTATTATTATTATTTTTTTCTTTAAATTTGTTTCCTTCATTTCTTTTTGTATTATTATTATTATTATTATTATTATTAATATATATGTATTTTTAATTAACGGCTTAATTAACAATTAATAGAAGAAAAAAATTATTAACGATTAAGTGTAAAAAATTTAACCCCTTGGTTTTTTGAGTTATGCAAATTGTGATGCACGCGTGAGTTTTGTGCGCGTGCGCAACGGATTTGTAAGGTTACAAATGGAAGAAAAATGAACTTGAACGGATTTTTTTTTAAATTTTACTAACCGATTAATAATAATTAAATTTTTTTTCAGGTACGTTTTAAGGATATTTATTAATTAGTTAAGAGATAGATGCATAAAAAAAAAATTTGATTTTTTTACAGATGGATTATTGCAAGAAAAAGAAAAATTTAAAGCTTTGGCTGCTGACGTGGATCAAAATTTTGCCGATTGGGTCGCTTGTTAATTAATAATAATAATAATAATTTGCACGGATTTGAATTTTTTAAACGATACAAATACTAACAAATTAATAATCAATGATGCTTACCACTAAAATGAAACTAACACCAATTAAAAAATAAATAAATAATTTCTTTTTTTCTTTCTTCTTCTTCCTCGTCGTTGTTGTTTTTTGTTCGAAGCTTCCGCCATTATTTAAATTATTATTTTCGTTCAATAAAAAAAAAAAACGATCGTCGTGCGAGTGATATTATTTTAGTGATTTTAATATGAAAAATATATTTTTTGTGATTATTATTGTGTTTTATTTTTTAAAAATAAATTTCCGCTGATAACTGCTGTGATAATATAATATATATATAATAAGTTCAAGTGCGAGTTTTCTTTATATTTATTTTATTTTTTTGTGTATTAATGTATTATTATTTGTCGTTTAAACGATCGATAATTATCATTATCAGCTTTGTTTTTTTTTTCTCATTTAAATTTTATTCACTGGAATCAATTAAAGTATTTTTTATTAAAATATAATTATCATGTATTTTCTTTTTAATCCTTATTTATTATTATTCCCTTAAATTCATATGACGCGCAATAAGAACGACCGTTAAATTTTTCCCGTTTAACCAGTTATATATTCCATCTTTTTGTGGATTTTTCCGAAAAATATTAATAATACTGAGTTTTTTAAATACATTATTGTAAACTTTTCTTAAAACACAATTAATATTTAACGAAATCGCGAATTTTCCGATTTTTTTTCCACGATGATTAAGCAATTTTTGAAAAAAAAAAAAAATTAAAACGTTCCGGAATTCCTTAACCGTTTTTTTTGAATAATTATTTACATATATGCTTACGGCGAGTAAAAGTTTAAGCGGTCAATGTAGTTGCAATTTTTGTCACCAGATTGCATTAATTTTCTCTAATTGGAAAGATGGCGACGGCCGTTAAAATTCGAAAGTTTTTTTTTTATTTTTTAAGTGGTAAAAATGTGATTGAAAAATGAATTCAAATCAACGAAAGTGATTTATTAAGTATAAATTTTAAAAAAATGTAATTGTTTAGTGATGCAAACCGTTGGAAGAGTAAAAAACGTTCGTTTTAAATCTTCCCATACAACACTCTCCACCATTTTATTCATCATATCCAAAAGGTAAGTGAAAATTTTTTTTACATTTTAACATAATCTGAGTAGATTTAATGAAAAAATTTACATGAGATGAGTTATCTTAACTTATTCAGATGCTAAAATGAATGATTTAGTATTGCAAAACTTGAAAAAAGTGTAAACTGTCAAAATTTTTTTTACTTGATGTCATTGATTGCTTTTTGACAATTATATTAACTAATAAGGGACCACACAATGTAAAAGCCCCATAGGGTTCATTTTTTTAAATTACTTTTAATAAGTCTTCATTCTCACATGTCAGTCAGTCTTTATATTTAAACAAAACAAAAAAAAGAGAAAATTTTAAATTGATTTATGTCATATTGTGTAGAGTCAGTATATAATTTTCTGGTAGGATTTGAAACTTGAGTTACCAAAACCTATCTCATAATTTATCATGAAAACCAATACTTTACCACCGTGTCAAAATGTTGGCTTTTAATTAAATAATAATAATAATAATAATAATTTTTTACCAACGATTCGTTTTTCAAAAAATAAAACTTTTTCATTTACTTTGTAAATTTTCTAAACTGTTTCATTTCAACACCAACATGGCGTCACGTTCGTCTATTATTTTTTTTAATTAATTAATTGTAGCTTACTGAAAATGATTAATTTTTTTTATCTTCCCTCCTCCTCCCCCCTTTCTCTCTCTCTCTCTCTCTCTCTCTCTCTCGTCAACGATTAATTGTAATTTTTTTTCTTTTCTTCCCCCCCCCCTCCCCTTAAATTTCACTCTTAATTGAATAATTTTTATTTAAAAAAAAAAAAACAAAGAATGTAAAAAAATATTTTTTTTTTTAAAATTAAATTTTTCTTAAATTAGTAACGTTCGAGATATCGATCGGATTCGATTTAATTTACTTTCATTATCGACAATCTCTATTAACAATAATAATAATAATAATAATAATAATAATAATAATAATAATAATAATCGAACTAAATGTGTCAGTATTGCACGTCTTGTGTGACACAAAACGTCGAAGGTTTTTTTTTTTTTTTTTTTTTTTATTGTGTTGTTAACTTTGATTTCTTTCACTCGATTCAATAATAAATTAATGATTGATTGATTGATTGATTGATTGATTGACTCGCGAACAACAATAACAAAAATTTTTGAAAAAGAATCATTCGATTTATAAAAAAAAAAATATATATTTTCCCACGGAAAATCTTTTTTTTTTTTAAAAAACTTTTCCAGAACGTTCTCATAGTTCTACGGCTCATTGATCATAATCAATGGTCGTAAATAGACAGTTCTACCAACCGTGAAATCAGCATAAATTTAAATGGGTTCGAGTGTGAAATAGCCATTGTAAACAATTAGTTAGGATAAAAAGAGAGCAAACTAAATAGTGATGCAACTTGCACCAAAGGCGAAATGTTAAAAAGTTAGAGAGAGAGAGAGAGAGAGGGGGGGAGTGTTAGAATAGAGAAAAAGAGAGAGAGAGAGTGTAAGAATAGAGAAAAAGAGAGAGAGAGAGGGGGGAGTGTAAGAATAGAGAAAAAGAGAGAGAGAGAGAGAGAGGGAGTGTAAGAATAGAGAAAAAGAGAGAGAGAGAGGGGGAGTGTAAGAATAGAGAAAAAGAGAGAGAGAGAGAGGGGGGAGTGTTAGAATAGAGAAAAAGAGAGAGAGAGAGGAGATGAAGCTTTTATTAAATCTTGTTGGCGCCTTTAAGTTGTCTCCATTAAATTTAACTTCTCAATTCGCTGAAAACTAAACCTAATAATCGAATTTAAAAAAATTTTATTCCAACCGTGCAATTCACATAATTTTCTTTGAGGTTTTATATACGCATTGCGTACCTATTGAGTACCTGAAAAATAAAAAAACAATCGCACGTACTAGATTTTTCAATTAATTGTGCGGGTTTGAAAAGCGTGACTCCAAATAAAATGTTTTGCCTTATATAATTTTACGATATTTCAAAACGTCATTTTTATTTTTTATTCATTTATCCATCCCATCTTCTTCTTCTTCTTCTTCTTCCTCCTTCATAATCTTTAATGTTAATCTCCTGGAAAACTTATTGGAGAAATATTTTTCAAAATGTTATTAAAAAAAAAAAAAAAAAAAATTTTATAAAATTTTTTCAATGCGTAACGCGTAATTTTTTTTTAAACATGACATAGTTACTCCATGTTTATGAATACTCGTGATATAGTTTAAGATAAAAAAAAAAAAAAATTTTGTATTTTGTTCTTGTAGTACCTTTCGTCGTTGTAATAGGAGAGGAAAAAATAAAAATTTTTTTTTTTAATCGTGTAAACGTGTGGGAGGTGTGGGAATCAGGTATTAATCGGATTAAAAGGTACGAGGAGTTAAAAGAGAGAGAGAGAGAGATAGATAGAGTGAGAGGCTAACATGGCTAAAATAAAAAAATCTGGCAGGAATCAAACCCACGACACACGAACTACCTTTTTGAACGTTATTTATTTATTTTTTGATATGAAAAAAAATTCATCTGAACTTTTTTTTTTTTTATATGTTTTCCCACACAGGTAATGGAAGCGAAAATATAATTTTTAGGTTTTTTTTTTTTCATTTAAAAATTACAAAGTTTTTTCATTATTCGTGCAATAAATTTAAATATAATTTCTGTGTCGTTAGGTGTTCGTGGCAAAAACTAGTTGACCATCAAAGCTTGGGGGGAGCCATCAACAGGGGGTCCACGATTGATTTATTTCTATACTGATTACTCCCTTATATTCGATACCCGATCACTATACCTGGCCAGTTTATAATTATTTTTTTTCGTAACCGGTTAATTATTCAACGAATTATTAATGTTTTACCAAAGAAAAAAATATATATCGATAAGCAAAGCAGGATTTACAAACAAAAAAATATTTATTTTGTTGCTGATTAAAATTTTCCTCTTATTCGTTATTGATGATATATTAAATCCGTACTCTAGTTTTTTTTTTTGTACACAATATCAACCTTCTTGTAAATTAATTCAAACATTATCTTGAGAACCGGTTTCAACCGTATCAGCCTGTAAATCATCGTCTTTTTCTTCATCTCCTTTTCTTTTCGAACCATCTTCATCGGTAAATTTGTCTGTTGGACCATGAATCTGTAATTTATTCATTACGTGTACTTATGATTTTAATTTTTCTTTTAAAAATATTTAAAATTAAATTTTCACTTGGATTTTAAATTACCTTTTCTACTTCACCTTCCGTTTCTGCATTTGAAATCGTCGTGTGAGTAGACGGTCTACTTCTTCTTTCCTCTCTGCTTGTTCCTCTTTTTTCGTCCTTGCTTGTTCCCCTTCTTTCCTCCCTTATTGTTCCTCTTCTTTCCTCTCTAATTGTTCCTCTTCTTTCCTCTCTTATTGTTCCCCTTCTTTCCTCTCTTATTGTTCCCCTTCTTTCCTCTCTGGTAGTTCCCCTTCTTTCCTCTCTTATTGTTCCCCTTCTTTCGCCCATGATTGTTCCCCTTCTTTCGCCCATGATTGTTCCCCTTCTTTCGCCTATGATTGTTCCCCTTCTTTCGCCTATGATTGTTCCCCTTCTTTCGCCCATGATTGTTCCCCTTCTTTCGATCATCACTGTTCCCCTTCTTTCGCTTTTGACGGTTCCTCTTCTTCCTTTTCTATGTCCTTTTTCTTTGGGTTCCTTTTAATAATTATCATAATTATTAATTTATTCATTTACAACTACATTTGATGAAAGTTAACAAAAAAAAAAAAAAAAAAAAAGGAAGAATAATATAAGTTTACTCTAGCTTTATATTCCGCTTCTCCTATTTCTTCAAATGCCTCACTCGCTTCTTCTTCCACTAAAAAAAATATTTAAAAAACAAATACCAATGTTAGAAAAATTAATAATTATTATATAAAAAATTGTTTATGAATTTTAAAACGAATTTTCAAACGGTTTCTTCAACATACTTTCAACTTCCTCTTCCGTATCGAATTTGCTACCTGTAACATAAAAAAAAATTTTTTTAAATCAAATAAAATATAAATTAAAAAAAAAAAAAAAAAAGAAAATTTTCAAAGTTTACATGCTACATCGTGAAGTAACTTAAACCAAGCTTCTTCTCCAAATTCATTCCAGAATAATGATTCAAACGTTAACGGTCTTCCATTTGGAGCCGCTAATTTTGGACCCATAACAAATACTTGATTTTCCAGAGCTGAACTTCCCAAATAATCCGAATGATATCCCTGGAACCTTGTTATGAATATCTAAAAAAAAAAAAAAAGAAATGAATTATTTAACGTAATTAATGTGAATAAAACAAAATGAAGGGTGCGTAGATGGGAGGGGGGGGAGTCTTACTTTCATCAATGGTTCACCTTTCGGATATTTTTTACTTTTTAATTGTTGCCAAGGTACAAACACGTATTCGAACATGGCCAAATCAGATGTATCTTCTCCAGAAGTATATTTATCGGGTATTATTTCTATTTTCTGTACAAAATCAACGGGTACTTTATAATTTAATTCGATTGGGAAAATTCTTCCAGTTTCTTTTATCTTGTACGGGCTTAGATTGCTCGCTTTCAATAAAGCATTTTCGACAGAAAGTTCTTCGTCTCTTAATATAAATCTTACGATCTTTAACGTTTGTTCCAAACTTTCTAGAAATTTTCAAAAAGAAAAACTTATATTCAAACTCGTAATAATAATAATAATTTTTGACGGAACATATCATACCGGCTCTAAATACGTAAACTTCTTCTTCGCAAACAACTTTTGACGGAAGCGTTCTAAATAATACTTCGTAATCGGTTTCCAAAAGGTTTTCCGGTTTTATTCTAACTAATATTCTCGGTAGTACCCAGTGCGGATCGTAATCCAGCTACGTAAAATTTTAATTAGCCGTTAGAATTAATAAGTTATTATTTAAAATGGAGGTTTTATATGAGCTAACTCACCTCGCCAATTATTTCATTCGGATCATTAGCAGCCGTTTTTTGTGCTTTTAAAAGTTCGTCAAATTTTTTAATTTCTTCTCTATCGACTTTATCTTTAAATACGTACGTATAAGTACCCATTCGAATTATATTTTCGGGATTTTTAAAAACAACTTCCGTGGATGATTCCAAAAGTAAAGATCTTGGAATGGGTATCAAAAATCCAATCGGTGTTCCTGTTCAATAAGAAAATAGAGGGTTAATTGGTTTTTGTAATTTATTTGTTTGTTCCTTTTGCAAATTTTTTTTGTTTTTTTTTTTTTTTTTTCACCTCTTTTTTCCATTTTGGATTGTGATTTTATCAAATAAGAATATTGTTCGTTTCCTTGCAAGTCTCTCATACCAAAAAATTCAACAATTTCAACATCGTCCGGAAGTTCATCTCTTGGCATTTTAATCAATTGACCTACTCTCGGCCATACGTATTTAATTTCTCCTTCTAAAAAAAAAACAAAAATTCCAATTTATTTCTTCTTCTTCTTCTTCCTTTTTTTTTTTTTTGAGTTTTTAATTGCGTACCTTTATCCATGTCAAAAAAGTCACCAAAATCAGCATCGTCCCATTTTTTAAATCGTCCTTGAACTTTATCTTCTTCCCTTATTCTTTGACCGAATGGTATTCTTTCACCCAGTATATATTCACCAGATTCCCATTTTATTCTAGAAACTTTGTAAGCATCCTGTTAAAAACAAAAAAAAAAAAACTAGTTTACGCGAATCGATATAAAAAATCATAAAAGGTGTGTTAATTCTCTGATAATCTCTTTTTGAAATTCCCCCGTACCTGACTTATGTTGTTAAATGACCTAACAGCTGGATATTCGACTAAATAATAATAATACCTGTATGATTCCTGCAGCTCTTGTTGCTTCCTCGTATGTGATACCCAATTTTTCCAATAGTTCTTCGATTTTAAGTGATTTTCTCTTTTCTCTTTCTTCTTCGAATTTTTGTTTTTTCCTCAAATATTCCGCTAATTTCTTTCGTACGACATAACCTCTCCAGGCAGCCTAGACAAATAATCTGAAATTTATGATTCGGGTATTGAAAATTGTTTAAAAGTCACAACAGTAAAAAAAAATATTTGAGAAAAATTTATACATGTACCTGAATTATGGTTGCATATTCGTTAACTTGTTCGCGTGTAACATCTTTAATTCTATAAAGATCCCCTAAAAATTGTCCTTTTTCATATACGTCACAAATGATAACAGCAGAATCTATTTTTTAAAAAAAAATTTTAAATTAATAATAATGATACATAGAGAGAGAGATAGAGAGAGAGACATATATTTTCCTACCTCTTGTTTTTTCTCTCACTTCCAACATTGTTTCCAGATAATCGGCAATAAAACCATTTATATGTTCAGGTTGATGCCTTAATACTTCCCTTATTATATCGCTGGATAATTCTTTGAGTCCATCCGGTATTGGAAATATATATTTAGCTCCGTGTACTTGCAATGAATAATCCATTTTATTAACAAAAAATTATTATTATTATTATTATTATTATTATTCACAACATTTTTTTTCCTGTCCGAGCAAGGTGTTTTCAGTATTGTTTATAATTTTTTTTTTTTTTTTTTTAATAAATTTATAAACAAAATAAAAAATTTGATTTTTGATAGAATTTTTGGAACGTTGAATTTTAAATTATTTATTTTGTTTAGTTTTTTTTTTCACGTCAATTTATTTTTAGTATTTCATGTCAGACATTTGACATGTTAGTTAATTTTTGTTTAATTAGTGTCAGAGTATGACGTCACAAAAAATACATAAAAAAAAAAATTTTTAAAGTGTAATAAATAGTAGTTTAAACTAGAGAGAAAGATGAGGAAAATTATTTACAACAACGACTAAATTTAACAGACAGTTTTTTTTTTCTTTGGTTATTTACTATCTGTCCCTAAGCAACGCGTTCGGTTACCATCAGGGTTATAAAAAATGACGAAAAACACAATTTTTTTAACGGGGGGGGGTGATGGGGGGTGGGTGGGGAGGAGGGTAAATCTCAAATTTCTATCGGAATTCGTGAAAACTATATATATATATATAATTTCATTCATTTTTATGTGGAAACGTTTGAAAAGGTAAAAATTATTTTTTTGTTGTTGTTGATGACTGATGACTTGAAAAAATGACATTACTTTACTACTCTCGACGACATTTTTTTTTTTTTTTATTTACCATTCAAGTATAAATTTTTTGACAAAAAAAAAAAAAAAAATTAGGTAGTACCTAATTGCCATCAAGCCTTAGGTTCAAGGCGATGATTCTTTTTTAAAGAAAAAATTTTGTCAAGTGTTTAAGTAATGTGTGCCTCGTGAGTGGTTTTCATTAATAATTATCCATAAGTTTTTGATTTAATTTTTTTTTTTTTTTTTCTTTTTCCCCCCTTTGATAAAAAATGACTTTCATAATCAGGTTTCTTTGGTTTATTTTCTCTTTTGTCTATTCGTAACGGCATCTTTATCTAAAAAAAAAAAAAAAAAAAGGTTCGCAAATATTGTAAAACGTTTGAGCCTGAATTGCATTTTTTTTTTTTTTATCTCACCAACTTAAACTTTATGACTGTAAATTTTTCAGTTACAAAAATCAGTACCGGAAATAGTGTGAGAAATGAGGGCATGTTTTTATTGAGAGGAGGAGCCTCGTACCTGATTTTCCATCTTAATAAATTTAAAAACTGTCGGTTAGGTTTCGTTAAATGAATTTTTTTTCTTACCGTTCGCCATTAAAACTAATTCGAATGACGTAATTGATTATAACACGAGTATCCAAAATCCTTTGTTATAATAATAATAATAATAATAATAATAATAATAATAATAATAATAATTTAGTAAATTTCAATCGATTTTAAATCATTTTTTTATTATGACAAAACGTTTAAATAATAATAGCAAGAAACTTAAACTTACGAAATAAAAAATTTTTATATTCCTTCCTTCTTTTTCTTCTAATTAATAAAATTTATAAAAAAAAAAAGTAAAAAGAAAACCCGCGGCAACATTGTCGGTTAACAATTATTGAAAATTAATTCATTAAAAAAAGATGGCGTGTCTTGTATATTTTATGATTAACAGTTGAAAAAGATGAAGACATTTATTCTCTCTGACTCGTTTACATTGAAGCTTCTCTCATTAATTTTTTTTTTTTTTTAAATATTTTTTGGACACAGCCTTTGTTTTTCTTTCTTTCTTTCTTTCTTTCTGGCTCAGGTATTTCAACCTCACGTGGCACGAATCGATCTAAATTACAAAATAATAATAATAATAATAATAATATTTATATAATACATTTTGTGTCATAATTTTAAATTTTTTTAATTCATGAAATTTGTAAGTGTTGTTTTGATGTAAAAAGTATTTATATCATATATACAACCGTGCAAAAAAAATAATAATAATGATAAAAGTATGAGGGTATGGAATGACCTGTTGAATAATAACAGTTAGGTACGGTTCAAGTTTGTAGATTGCTATTGTTACAACAATTTCAGGTTTAATAAAATCTTGTTTGAAATATTATTTATATATATGTAGTTAACACCTTAACATTCCATTTTAGCCACAATAATAATAATAATAATAAATTATTATCAATTTTTCCTAGTATTTGTAAAAAAAATTCTGGATTCGGTTCTGTAGAGTAACAAAATTAACAACATGGCTGACGGTTTTGCAAGCTATACAATTTTGTCGTCATTTAAAATATATATATATACATAAATTTTTTTTTTGTTTACTTTGTTTTAAAATAGTTGAAAATTCTTCTTAGATTGTATGTCGGTTGTTGTTGGTTGTTGGTTGTTGTTTGTAATTCGAATAAAATTATTATCATCGTATCATTTTTTTAAGAGAGAGAGAGAGAGAGATAACCAATTCATTCTAATAGTAAACTTTTTGGTACCCCTACCTGATTACTGTTTTTCATTTGAATAAATTTCTTTATGACACATTTTAAACATTTTGAAAACGAAAATAATAATAATAATAATAATAAAAACGTATTATTAACGTTTTTTGTTTTGTTACCATTATTATTATTATTATTATTTAATTATTTTATGTGACGGTTTAAGTAGACTCGTGAGTAACTTCAAAAAACATGTCAAAAAAAAAAAAAAAAAAAACGCCATTTTAACTTTTACTTATTAATTTTTAATAAAAAAAAAAAAAAAAAAAATGCCACGGGGTTGTTGTTTGTATACTAGTTACACGACACATTAATAACTAAAATTAATTTAAATATGTCGCAAAGTTACAAAAAAAAAAAAAAAAAAAAAGGAAAAAATTTCTAACGTTTGTTTGATTCGTTACAAAAAAAAAAAAACGTTTGAGCATCAAATTATTATTATTATTATTATTATTTTTCGTTTGTCTTTTGTCGCTATCGTTTTTTTTTTTTTGGTTAAATCAAAGTTAAACTTATTAACGGACACAAAAAAAAAAAAATGTCGACGTTTTAAGATCAGACGGGGGGCAGATTCATTATTATCCCATATAAATATATTTTAAAAGACGACATATTCATTTCATAAAAAGTTTCGAATAGAATTTAAACGTTTCCTCCTTGACTTTTGTTCATTTTTTCTTCCTTAAATATTTCCTTGGCTTCTCTGACTTTTACTGATGAAATATTCAATGGCGACGACAGCCAACCAAAACAAATTCCCATTCGATAAAATTCAAATTTTTTCTAATTGTTATCGGAACCTTTGGGGCAACAAAAACTCGTGGCAGGAAGTAAAATCACGATTTCACCTTTTTCGTTTGACGTGTCACAATCATTCAAATTATTATTATTATTATTATTAGCCATTAAAATGCCGAATAAAAAACTTAGCGCCTTGTATTTTTTTTATTTTCCGCTCAGTTTAATTTAAAAAAAAAAAAATTCTCCTTTTTTTCTGTTTTAATTTCGAATGACCGATGACCAATGAGAAAATTCGTTTTTTCTTCGTACCTTGTTTTTGTTTATAATATTTGAATGAAAACAAACGAGAAAAAAAAACCGTTACCGTCACGTTTTGGTGACATTTTCCCCCCGCCCCCCTTATTAAATAAGATTTTTTTTTTTAAAAGTTCCGTTAGGTTTAGTTTAATTTTCTGCTAAATATTTTGGCTTTGGTCCCTTTTCAAACCGAACCATTTTTTTTTTTTGGATGTCATTTTGTAAAAATATATATATTGTGCATAATATAATATAATATAATATAAGATACACGATGATATAATTGTGGAAAATTGTGGGTGTAAACATTGTGAAAATATATATATATATATATATCATTTGTTTTTATTGTGTTAGTATAAAACTAGCCTGTCCTTGAAATTTATAATATTCACTTAAACTATTATGTTTTATGTTTTATGTTTTATGTTTTGTTTTGTTTTGTTTTGTCAAACCATAAAATAATTTATCACTTAACTGTAAATAAATAATAAAAAAAAAAAAAAAAAATCATAACAAAATGATCATGACAAAAAATTAATTTTTTTTTTTTTTTTGTGTAATGACATTCAAGTGGTGGGCTCACTGCAAATTTTCAAGTGTTTTTCTAATCGCGAGATACAATAGAAAATATTCAAATTATTATTATTATTATTATTAAAATTTATAGAAAAAAAAAAAAAAAAAAAAAACTTATCGGTTTCGATGTACCCCGGGGGGGGACTGGGGGAGGGGGGGTGGAGGGAAAGAGCCTTCTATTGTCGTCGCCAGATAGAAAGCGCGGAAACTTAATAATAATAATAATAATAATAAACGACGACTCGAATCTTCTGCTCCAGCGTAACTCAGTTCATTACATACAGACATCAGAGCAACTGCCATCATTCATATACATATAATTTTGCTCTTTTTTTTATTTATTATTTTTTAATAATTATTATTATTATTACAAATTATTATTAATTAATAATTATTTCGCGGTGTTATTATTATTATTATCATTACGATTTAATAACGTTTTTTTTTTTAATTTTTTTTAATAATAATAATTTTTCACTGGATTTTATTATCGAACAAAGTGAGTAATTTTTTTAATAATAATAATTATTATTATTAATACGTTATTATTAACATAAAATTTTATTTATTTATTTATTTATTTATTAAAATTTGAATTTTTTTCGTACACGAATATTTCATCTCGGAAATCGCGAGATTTTTTTTTTTTTTTTTGCCATTCGTTCGACGCCATTTTACATTTATTATTATTAATTATTATTATTATTAACGATTGCAAATGATTGAAGGTTATTAATTATTGATAGAGAATAATTTAAAAATATTTTTTTCTGTAATTCATAAAAAATGAATGTCGTTTTAAATAATATCGTCTTATCTATTTCAATAGAATTAACTTCCTTTTTTTTTTTTTTTTTTGCTCAGTAACATTTGCACTTCCTTAAATTATTATCACATTATTTAGTAATAATCTGTTATCATACTCTTATTTATTTATT